ACTGCATCCATAAAATAAAGGTCAACAATCTAGGATTTAGTTGGATGTTAGATAATCTAATCTACGGTGGCCTCCAGATGACCTTATAAATGCCAAAGGCCCTCGCTAGAACCAGTTTTTGGTTTGTTCTGGGCTACTGTAGAAACACGACGGTGCAACATGACCCAGTGAAGAGAACCTGCTCCCCATGTACATATAAAGGCTAAGCTCACAAAAACTTGATCACTAGTTTCAGTGATTATGCACCAAAGAAAAACATACATTACAACAGCCAATATAAACCCCTATGAATCCTACACAACTATGACCTAGGTGATCAGTAGGCCTACTGTTAAAAGAAAAGAAAAAGAGCAGGTGTCGTCAATATTATGATTTATTTCATAGACATTTTTGATTTACAGGTGAACACTCAAATCAGACTCATACAGTTATTGCTATTTCCACATTCATTTTGAGTGATTAAGGATAAAAAGCAGTGGCATTTTAAAACATGCAGACAAAATCAACACACAGCAGTGAGAGAAGGCAGTGAACTTTATTGTTTGTAAACGTGTGGTTGTTCATGAATGTGTGTGCGCGTGTGTGACAGAAGGCATCATGCTGTGTGGGGCTGCACCCACTTGTATTTTCCCTCATAGCGGAATCCCACCCTCTTCACCAGGTCATCCGCCTCGCCCGGACCACGACTGCCAACAAAGAAACGACAGGGGGAAGAGAAATGATCACTAAAATGGAAAATGCACTGTTTATTTATTTCTGTCTCATGAGATAGACACATTATGTTACCTTCCATATGCGTAAGGGATGGGTGGTTTCTTCTCTTCCTCTATTTGGTGGAGGAGGGGGGTGAAGATCCTCCAGGCCTCCCGCAACTCATCACTGGGACAGAAAGCAGAGCAGTTAAAAAAAAAGACAACATTAAATAAAATAAATAGACAATAAGCTATGACAGTTAATAGTTAAACCGACCTGCGGACAAAGTGCATCTGATTTCCACAGAAGACATCCAGTATCAGCCTCTCGTAAGCATCCGGGAGCTTCACGTTCTGGAAGAAGATGACAGCCGTTTAAAAACTGAATACTTGCTTATTTCAGGTTTCTTAATACAAATGAGTAAGGAGATTTAAACTATATTGCAATTCACCAAGTATGAGATATGGTGGAATCGGTTGAAATCTTTTAGGCAGAAAATAGAAAATAGAATTCAACCATAAATTGGCCAACTTTAGATTTTTAACAATATTTTTTAAGGTTACTAAGTGACGTTTCCTTTACTTTTTATTTATTTTCAAACCATCTACAGTATGTCACCGGAAAACATTGAATAGGTGTCAAATGTCACCTAAATTATTTTTGTATGTTGAAGATTCATTTGACTTTTGAAATAGAGCATGACCAACATATCTGGAGATTCAAATGACACAAAGAAAATTGCTCTATATCAAAAAGTAATTAAAGTTTGCCTTTACTCTTACGATACCTTTTTCTTTTACATATTATTTATTGTATATAAATGGGCATTTTTTGGAGGGAGCCCAAGATTCAAGATATTAATGTTGTATATTGTTGTGCATATGATAAACTTGAAAATAACTGATAGAGGGCGAAAAGCTAAATGATGATGCACAATGGATTCTTTGAGAAAGGTGCAGCACCTTGTATCTGCTCCTGTAGGTGAGGTCCAGCTCCGTCTCCTCTGGGCTGAAGTAGACCCCCGGCCTCTTGGTCATCATCTTCAGGTAAATGGCTTCGTCCGGCTGCACCCGCACCACCAGCTCGTTCCTCTGACAGCGCTCGGCAAAGATGTCTCCCGGCACGTCAGTGAACTGCAGACGCACCTCTGCCTTCCTTTCGTTCAGAGCTTTACCGCAGCGCAGGATGAAAGGAACGCCTGGTGGGGGAGAGTTGATGAGAGGACCCCAAAGAAACTGAGAAAATCTGGGGGAGGTGAAGACTAAGACAAGTGATGAAAAAGATAATAAATGTTTTCACTCACCATCCCATCTTTCATTCTGGACATAAAGCACCGCTGTGGCAAAAGTTGGCGTGCAGGACCCTGCTGGTACAGTGGGATCGTCAAGGTAACCCAGTTTGGAATGACCCTCCCCCTCAGGGTCGCCCACATACTGGCCGAGCACCACATCTGATCCAGTAACAGGAGCTATACACTTCAACACCTTCACCTACAGTTCATCAATGGATAAAGTGTTGGATCGTCAACGATGCTCTGGAATTTAGACAGAAAATGCTAAATCTTTCTGTTCAATCAGTCATTACCTTCTCATCCCTCACGTCGTCGGGGCTGGTGGAAGCAGGTTTCTCCATGGCGACCAGACAGAGAATCTGCAGGAGATGGTTCTGCATGACATCTCTACACGAGGAACAAGAAGTAGAATCAGCACAAGTGAAGGCTCTAGTGTAAAAATAACATTGTATTAATTGTTTTGACTTTTATTCAAATGTAATGGTCCTCACCTAATGATACCAAAGTCATCAAAGTATCCTCCACGGCCCTGAGTGCCAAAAGGCTCCTTGAAGGTGAGAACCACACAGGCCACACTGTTCCTGTTCCATATGGGTCCAAAGATGCGATTTCCAAACCTGGCAATGAGAGAATAAGACATTTGTAGAATAAACCCTCCAATACCAGTGACACAGGAAGGAAGAGATCGTGAGAAGTAATTAAATAGAATTAATGGTGCTAAGGATTTCACTAGTGGTATAGTGCTTAGGAATGTGTGCATTGAGTTAGCTACCTGAGCACCATGAGGTTCTGGACCATCTCTTTGCCCAGGTAGTGGTCTATGCGGTAGATCTGGTCCTCTGAGAACAGGGAGGAGAGGTGGGCTGACAGCTCCTGAGAGCTCTGGAGGTCTCGCCCAAAGGGCTTCTCCACAATCACCCTGCTCCAGCCTCTGTTTCACACACATAGGCCATGAGAGCAATGTTGATGAATAGCAGGTGAACCATCGTTGAGTAAAACAGACACTGACCTGGAGCTCATGCAGTGGGTTCTTATATTTGTGCTGACATGTTTGTAGACGGTGGGGGGCAGAGCCAGGTAGAACAGTCTGTTGGCGTTGGATCCCCCAGGAAGAGACGACAGATGAGAGTCGAGTTGGGCGAAAGAGCTGTCATCGTCATACCTGCCGCTCAGGTAGGAGTTCCTACTGAAGAAGGCTGAGAGACTCTCACTCTCTTCATCAGTGACCTGAGGGAAATGACAAACAATTATTCCAGAAAAGACCCCACACAATCAACAATCCTTTCTCAGATAGCCAACAAGTCGCCATTTCCTACCTTCATAAAAGGCAGACATGCTGTCTTGATGTTCTCCACAGTCAGCTTAGACCGGGCAAAACCCACAAAGTGGGTGTCATCTGGGAGCAGGCCATCTCTGAATAACCACCTAGAGAAGGGACAGTCAAAAAGCAGGGATCCAAAGGTCAAACTCCTCAGGATAAAAAGTGACCAAAACAAATAGTAGAGCTTTGGTGTTTGAGAAGAAATTCTTACTTACCATAAAGTTGGATAGATCTTCTTTTTAGCCAGATCCCCCTATTGAAGTACACTTGTTTTTAGATCTGATCAAGAAGTCCTTCAGATAACAATGTGGCTGATAATAATCCATTATTAAGAGTCCAAAGAGTAAGTAAGCTTCACATGGGGTCATGCAAAGTGGGTGGATCTATTGAGTCACGGTAGAACTTTGAACACTCCCTCTTTGCAGGACTGTGAGACTTCAGATTATTTCTAGATTACTGGCTTCAGGAAGGGAAAGAAACAATTTGGGTGACAGGAAAAACAACTCGATTATGGAACTAGTGCCGGGATTAAGACCAACAAAGGCAAAAGTAGATTCAGCACATTTCACTTAACATGAGCTAACACTGCAACATTCCCCAGGTCAATAGTTTTCTGCAAGGCTTTGTGTCAACTTCATGTTGGGCCTGTCACTTTATACAAGCAAACAAGACAATTTATAGACTTTTAAACATGTGAAAGAGAGCATTTCCACAGACACTTTTTAAATCGGGTCAAAGGAAGTGAATGAGTAACAATGTTAAACCGAGGAGACTGCAGTTATTCATGTGGTGTTGTAAGAAGTTGAGAGGTTGTACTCACAGAGGCTCCCAGGATGATGAATGTGTGTGTGTTGGAATGAGAGGACTGCTCCTCTCCATAGAGCTCCCTCCTGAGCTGTCCAAACACCTCGGAGCGAGTGAAAGGCTCAGAGCTCATCTCCTGTCCCATCTGTTCTGCGGCTGCAGTTACTGTGGCTACTCTCATTCCCCTACACACTCAGCATGGGGAAATTTCAATTGTCATTCTTGCCTTGCAGAAAAAGTCAGCAAGTGTATGCTGCCACCTATTGCTGCGAAGAGGTATTGAGAAAATGTGACAGCTTCCTTGTGCAATAATGTTGAGTATCCTCTCTCCAACCTCTGCAGTTTGGGCGTGAAGACAATTCCACGTATGAAATTAAATCTGCAGGTATTAAGATCCGGTTTGTTAACCTGAAGAAGTCCTACCTATTCATCTAAACTTACATTTCAGGTCTGTCAGACGTTTAACAATTGGCAAGAATGTTCCTTCCTCCTAAACCACACCTTGGACAAATGTTGCGTAAACATTAACAGAAGCCTCTTACTGAGAAAACGCTATGGCTTTGTTGCGGAAAGAGTTCTCATCAGTACATAGCCTCTGCCAACGCAACTTTTACAAGACTGTAAATGAAGTCATGAATTATTGCAGGTCATCTAAATCCAAATGACTATATGTGAGAACCACAGTGAGTTAATCATTATTTCATGAGATCACCCGGTAAATCAATACTGACCATTTAAAAAAAAGAACATTTGAATAACAATGTAAGATTAGTACCTTGAACACATTATTAAGGACAGATGAAGCTGGCTACAACTTAAATGTATTTCACAGTTTAAGCTCCCGATTGATTTTTGTAATACTTATGGCAATAAAAAGAAAATCACTAAAGATAATTTTTCTTCTTTCTTTTTATTAAAAACAGACATCTCTTGCTTTTGGGTTAAGAGTAAGACTTGCTTATTGTCATGTTTCAACATTCATTGTCAGAACAAAAAAAGGCACTAAAGGGCTATTTAATTTTTCAAGCTGGAGTGTAAATTCACTGAAATGAGATAATTGCAGTTCACAGCCAATCTATCACAGTCAAGCTGCCACTGCTGAAAGCCAAAGCCAAGTTTCTGATAATCCCCAGCCACCTTTAAAGATTTTTCTTCAGAGTCCATCATAAATACATTAAAAACAGATTTAGGCCAACCCAAACGTCTTCCTCTGTGAAGTGACCAGGACTGTCTTTTCTTTTTCCTCCATGTTTGAATGTCCACTAAGTAGGGCCGAATGCCCCAAGCTCCACAGCATGAAATCCTTCTGGATCAATGTTGAGCTGGCTCCATGGGGCCCAAGTCTGAGGAAGGGGACACATGGTGAGGGGGTCACCTGATGGGCGGATGGGGAGGTCAGCTGAAGGTCCAGTGCTGGAAGAGGTCAGCAGCATTACAGTCGCCCATCTGAACCTGGGCTCCTTTCAGAAGTAAACATTTCCCACTGCTGGGATTCTTCAGGAGATGTTCCTGGAAAATAGCATCAGAGAAAAAGATTAATTAATATAGAAAATGGATTAAATAAATAAGACTTGTATGCTGGAATATTGTGCTTCTTTGCTTTCTAGCAGAATGAATAAGTAGATTAATACCACCATTTGACTGTCTGCTAAATGTAAAGCTACAGCCAGCAGCATGTTAGCTTATCATAAAGACTGGAAGCAGGGTGAAATAGCTAGCTCACCTACTAGCATTTCTAAAGTGCACTACAATTAACACATACGTCTTTTGTCTATCTGTACGAAAACAAAAGCGTAAATACAAACAAAAAAATGTGTATACGTTTTTTTTGCCATAACACTTCCACATTCTGCCAGTTGCCAGGCAACCTCATGACAACCAGGGAAGTCCTCATCTAACTGAATGTGAACAAGCATTGGCCACAAAGCGTTTTCCTTCAGACTGGCCCTTGCTCACCTCTGTTAGGATCCATTCTTCCTGCGTTGCCACACTGGTGCCCTTCCCCTTCCGCTGGCATAGCTCCAGCTTCACGGGTTCTGGCTGCGGCGTGGCATGAAGACACAGCTGCTTTCCAATATTATGACGCAGCTCCTTATGAGAGGAGTACTCAAAATACTAGAAGAGACAATCATTCAATCAAAGACCTTAGGGAACATCAAGATCTATAACCATGCTCCGAAAGTATAAAATACCTGACCCAAGAGCTATTAAAGGTGGTGGCTCTCTGGAAATGTTAAGTGAAAGCTGACAACATATTTATTTAATTTGGCTTCTAATTAATATCATTATTCTTGTTGTTCCCTTTTTTTGTACATTTTGTAAATATATTTGATCATATATTGTCTTTTTATAGTCTAAATCTATAGTCTATATGCCCTTGTGTAAATGTGTTGCATCTTTTTGGAAAGAACTTCAAGCTACATCACTGTACAAATGTGCTGTACCAATAAAGATGACTATATATTATCTTCAAATCTTAATTTTATACGTGTGAGTCATTGTACCTGGTTGCCTCCCATGTTGTGGCAGGTGTACATGATCATTGGTTTATCTCCCTGGTTATTCTCTCCAACATCCAGACAGCTCTGTGATCCTGAGTTTTTAATCTGTAACAAACACAAACATGATATAACAGTAAGACACATCCGAGGGTCCGAACTTGTGTCATGTATCATATTGTTGATTTGCACATAAAGAAAAATGGAAATGTGACTTACTGTTCCAAACAATGTTGGGTTTAGGTCTGGAACGAAGGCCTCTGGGTAGATTGTGTTTAAGAACCAGGTGAAGTTTTTGCAGTGAAGCTTCTCTCTCAGATTCAGACGTTCAGAGATGTCCCCATACTTATTCTACAAACATTGAAGAGGCATATTTAAAAAAAAAAAAAAAGTACAGTACGTATATTAACACATCAACTTGTTAAAGCAAATGATAGGTTAAAAGGTAAAAAAAGGTGTGTGACGGCCCCAGAGCCTGTGGCCGGTTAGTGTGCGTGTGTGGTGCAGGTCCTGTGATGGGGGGGGAGCTGAGGAGGCCAATCAGCATAACTGGGGACACCTGGCCTGCGCAACACGTTCTACTTAAGCCCTGCTGCTCTGAGTCACGGGGCAATCGCGACTCTCTCCGGGACTGACGTGGGAAACTCTCGCCGGGATCCCTTCCCCTCGCCCAGCCTCTCATTTTACTTGTAGAGATTGTTCGCAGAACCCACTGCAGTGTTACTTTTTGAGTTGCCACAATAAATGTGCCTTTGCTTTTTCGTAAACCCTCGTACGTTTCCATCTCTTTTCGTTGTGGCCTGCGAGCCGGTCATAACAGGTGACATCAGCATAGTATATAAGAAGTGGACGTAGTGACCATGATTTCAACCATTGGTTAGTAGTGCACTACAGATTTGAGGACTTAAGTTCGGCATTTTGGCTGTTGCTATCTTGTGTTTTTTTTATACCAGAAGTTACAGGAGAGTGTGAAACAACTAAAACAATGAGACATTTTTAGGTATGACTAATATATTATAACGCAAAGACAAACTGTGAAAGGTTCAAAGTTCTAATATGAAAACACAGACTTCCCCTTGGTGGCAAACGGTCAATCACAAGATGGCCATGTCCTAAAGCTTTTGCTGCCTAATGGTTCATTTTACTTTAAACTAGTGCATCATTTACAAAAAGGAACATCATTCATTTTGTATTAAAGAGCACTTGGCTCTTGTTAGTATATCTAGTGAGGACGAGGTTCATTCTTTTATGGACTTATTTCACAACCATGAGTGACGCCCTGCGTGCTTTAGAAAGAAAGCCGGTTTGGGCACTTCCTTATTGGCTTCACTTTTCAGACTTGGAGTTTGCCGCTTGAGTGGAATCAGGGTGATAAATGCCATTGTATCCACAGTGCACATAACATCGTGTTACTTCCATCTCACTAACCTCACTGGCCATAACGGCAGCGTTCTTGTTGCGGCGATAGAAAACGTGCTTGAAGTCGTCCATCCAGACCTCGGCCAAGCGCACCTGGTTCCGAGTGATGACCTCTGTGCCCTTGGGGAAAGTGTGGGGGCTCTTGGACCGGAACACATGTCCCACCACAGAACAGGGGAGGATCTCTAGCTGACCCCCACACTGCCACACCTGTGGATCACAATTCACATACACTGAACAAAAATATAAATGCAACACTTTTGTTTTTGCTCCCATTTTTCATGAGATGAACTCAAAGATCTAAAACATTTTCTACAAACACAAAATAACCATTTTTCTCAAGTATTGTTCACAACTCTGAAAAAATCTGTGATAGTGAGCACTTCTCCTTTGCCGAGATAATCCATCCCACCTCACAGGTGTGGCATATCAAGATGCTGATTAGACAGCATGATTATTGCACAGGTGTGCCTTAGGCTGG